TGAGTTGGGGGCTTAAGCGCCCAGAGGCAGTAGCTATTTGCGTTTTTAGGGAGCTTAAGCTTCTGAATGGGGGCTTAAGCTCCCACTTCTAACAACTTGATAAGATCCTCAATCTTATTGTTTTTGATCTTCTTCTATCATCTCTTGATCTTATCTTTTCTAGTTGTGATCTCTATTTATCCAATCTTCATCTTTGACTCCTTTTGTCAACAAATCCCTAAAAAATAGCAAAGATGATTCCATTAAACAAAAATTCAGATAATGTTCATGATTATTATATTAAACCTTAGTTTTTGACTTATTTAACTTGATATTTTATATTAATTTAGTCTATAAAATAAGATAAACTAAAGGTTTATCAAACAATTCCCAGATTTGAACATTGCTGTCCTCAGCAACTAATTAGAATAAAACTATGGGAAAGTTTGAAGACGGCTAGTCATGCTTAATGAATATCAGGCAGAAAACTGATCAATAATGAGATACCAAAGTATTCAGACTTATTAAAATCAATGACACATCCATTTCAAGCAAACAACCATAATTCACCAGTCATAAAATCATAACATGCGTTCTCAAAAGAAAGAGTAGTACAATTTAATTCCCACAACACCCTCTCACTGGATTTTTATTTATTCACTCATACTCAGTGTTTAAGGGTATGTGTTTCACTCTTACTTTACTGAATTAACACTACCATAAGCGTGTTTATATTCTCACTCTCCACAGTCTTACTACTATACAAAGTCAATCAAGAGGTCTTTGTTAAGGTTGTAACGTGGCTTTAGATAAAAGGGAAGGAATCATCTGGGTAAGTGGCGTAAGATAACTGATCAAAATTCAACTTCAAAGAGGAACTAGTTTAACTGTTCAACATATAGTAAACAGATTTCTCTTATTTTTCTTCTCTTTTCTTCTTCCACTTATTCATATAATATGAGTCTTTTATTTCTTTTCCCTTTTCCTTTTGTTTTTCTTTTTCTGTTTTTGTACAGATACACATTTTCAACCTTTTTCTTTGCTTTTCTTTTCCACCACTTTTTGGCTTTTTCCTCTTTTCACCCTTTTCTCCCATACACTTAGAGTTTGATTTTCTCTTTTTGTTTCAATCATATCTAGTCCCTCATTTAAACTAGCCGAATTGGTAAGTTTTTGTGATAGCTCATTGATAGTTATCTTGATTTTCTAGGCTATTGCTGTAAGTTTTTGTGATAAAGTTATGCCTTTTGGGTTCATCACAAATGTTTTTCTTTTTTCAGGATATGCCTGAATTTAGGTCCGAAATAGAATCATTAAGGCAAAGAAAGAGTAGAGCAGTATGTTCCTCCTCCCTTGGATTCATCATGGGCGGACTTAGTAACACTTGCACAAAAAAGAGAATGTGCATCCAAAGAGCGTAAGAAAAGAGCTAAATGAACTGTTGAATATGAGAAATGGAACAAATGCTTCCATTGGGATTGAATCCGTTGATACAGAGGGAGCTTACTTTATAAAATATTAGAGGTACATTATCACATGTACTCCACTACAGAATAGTGTTGAGGTTTACTATACTTGCTTGTTGTTGATATAGAGGAACTTTCTTTATAAAATTGAATAGGTACATTTCTTGTTGCTTATCACAGGTACTCCCCTACAGAATAGTGTTGAGGTTTTCTATACTTGCTTGTGGTTCTCTATGCTTTTTCTTTTCTTTGTTTTTATATTGGCTATCCGAGCATTACTCGAAGTGAGTGCATTTGTTCTTTTAGTGTTTGTAAATGAATACCTGAATAGAATAGAATATAGAATTGGTAGGCTTTCTGCTTTTACCCGTGAGTTGGTCAAATCTTATGATTTAATTAGGAAAAGCGAGTTTATTATTTCCTCCTTCGCTTGTTTTGCTATAATTTTGATTAAGAAACATTGTTTTCAGTTGGCAGTAAGCAAGGCAAGTTAAGATAAAATATCAGTTTGAGGTCTCATTTCCCTGCTGAAAGTTGAAGACTGTTCTAATCTGATGTTTCCGTGCTGAAAGTTGAAGACTGTTCTCATCTGACATTTTGGTTCTTTTTTCTGACGAGGATCGTGGAATGAAACATTGTATGCTGAATTTATCTTCTTTTTTATGAAAGGTTTGAAATGTTTATGTGGATGTCTGTAATTGTACTCATGATTTACTGATGAGTGACCATTAACTTGTTTTGGTTTTCGTTTGTATTTGAAGTCCCTTTGTATGTGAATGAATGACTGCTAAAAAATTTGTGTTGCACACTGGAATAACTCATGGACAGTGTAATTATGTCACCGACAGAAATTCCTAAGCTAATGTGTTGCACAAGTCATTTTTCATGATGAGTGTTAAACAAATTGTGAGAAGCTTTTTAAAATGTTTAAAAATATATATTTTCTTTGACTTGTAAGAAAAGGTGTTTCTCGGATTGAGATTTAAAAAGAAAAATAAAAATAGTATTCTTAAGAAAAATTCCAGCACACAAGCTTTCAAATTTTGCTAGTGGAGTTAGAAAGTTTTTAAAAAAAATTCCAGCACACGAGCCTATAACTAGCTAAAAATTATTATATTTTAAAAAAAGGGATGACCCGACACAACTGATATTTGGTTCATTAAAAAGGGAAGGGCAAGTGCTCCCTATATTGGGTTGGTTGGAATTCAGAGAAGGAAATTATGGTGCATAGAATTGAAAAATGAAAGTGTTGAGTAAAATAAAGGGAAGGTACTGTGACCAGAGAATTCGAAGGTGTGTGGTTGCCACGCCTGAAGAAGAAGAAGAAATAGAAACTGCAATGGAGCTCGTGAAGAAGAAAATGAAAGAAATTAAGGATTTGGCTTTTCGAAAAAAAAGAAAAGCATTGGGCTTGCCCGTAGGATTATTGGGTTAACCCAAAAGAGATGAGGGTTGCTGGGACCCTGGGTCAAAATTAACCTTACCAAATATGGGTTACAAAAAAATAGTGCTGAAAATTGAGGTTGAAGGGACGGGCCACGGGCTCTGACCCATTTTGACAGCTCTAGTTAGATAATCTAAATTCTTAATATTGCCCAATATTTTTACACTCAAAAAATTAAAATATCTTTAGCTTCCACAAAATAGAGAAAAATTATACTAATTACAGGTAATACCAATGGTCATCATAATAATTTTACTTATTATTAATATCTTAATTAGCCTACTGAGGATAGGAGAGAGGGAAATGCCGATCCTTCCCATATTTTTAATTGAGTTAAAAACTTTATCTCATCCCGTTAAGATTGAGCTGGTGGGTTACATAATTGGATCATAACTCTATAAAATGAATATAATATGTTTGCTCGCGGTAATTGTGGCCTCTCAGGAGAATTTATGACTGCATCAAAGATACACTTGCTATTGCTAGTACATCTGAGAATTCTTAATGGGTTAGTTTAAATAGTCCCGGACTGCGGAACAAAGGAGTATCCCAAACCTACACCGAAGTATTGACGACGATTCTCAAATATCGCAGAACACAATGGGATAAGATGAGATAGAATGCAATAGAAACAAAGACAAGGGGAACGAGTTACCTACTCTTAACCTTCAAAATTATATTTTTACATCCAATACAAAAATATAAAATTCAATTTTCTTTGGTAAACTATAAAATTCAAATTTATTAAATTCTGTATTTTCCTTTTAAATTCAAATGTTTTCCTTTTAAATTATAATTCTTAAGTTATATTAGTTTAATTGTGAAATTTTTTGTTGTAATTTTTATGGTCTTGAGGAAATCAGCCAATTCCCCCTTAATTTGGGGATCTGTGGTCTTACCAATTCGGGGATCTGAGGAAATCAACATGCCCCGGCAACACGCCATACATGTCCTCCTTTGTAAAATACAGCAAAGGAGGATCTGGTTTGTTTGGGTCTTCCATGAATTTAGGACGGTCCCGAATTGAAAGGAACTCCTTCAAGTACTTCCTTCTTGCGCTTATAGTGTCACCCCCTCTTCCAAGGGCTCCACTGATTACGTTGCAATCGAATTCCGCTTCCGGGAACTCGTCGAAGTTGGGATCATCTTTGCTGTCCCTTTCGTCCTTGTTCTTCTTTTCAGGAACTGGACTTTTACTTCTCTTTCTGTTTCTCGACTTCCTTTTGTTGTTTTTGGACCCTTGGGTTTTGATCACGTATTGACGCAATCGTCCATCTCTCACAAATTTCTCCTCAGCATCTCGGAGATCCCAACATTGATCAGTTGTGTGGCCCGGCCCATCATGGAAGACACAGTATTTGGACTTGTCCAAACCTCCTCTGTCAAATATAGGCCGGGGTCTGTCCACCTTCTTTATTTCCGTCATTGAACAAAGGAGTATCCCAAACCTACACCGAAGTATTGACGACGATTCTAAAATATCGCAGAACACAATGGGATAAGATGAGATAGAATGCAATAGAAACAAAGACAAGGGGAACGAGTTACCTACTTTTAACCTTCAAAATTATATTTTTACATCCAATACAAAATTATAAAATTCAATTTTTTTTGGTGAACTATAAAATTCAAATTTATTAAATTATGTATTTTTCTTTTAAATTCAAATGTTTTCCTTTTAAATTATAATTCTTAAGTTATATTAGTTTAATTGTGAAATTTTTTGTTGTAATTTTTATGGTCTTGAGGAAATCAGCCAATTCCCCCTTAATTTGGGGATCTGTGGTCTTACCAATTCGGGTAAATTGACCGGGTTCTTCTCCCAATGTGAGGTTTTCTAGCTCTCCATCAGGTTCGGGTCTCGAAATTACTTCTTCTCTCATATCGAGTTCAACCACATTGAAGAGTTTCTTGGAATGGTGCTGGGTTGTGTTCTTGCCTTGTTTATCCCCTATATGAACTCGGGGTGGACCTGTATGTCCATCTTCATTATCTTTGACGATGTCAAAGTAGCATCCTCTGGACTCTTTTTGATCTCCACAAACAGTAATTATTTCGTCCTTACTGCTTAACATCTTTATCTTTTGATGCTTCGTGGAGACCAACATGTCCTACTGGTGTATGGTTGGCCTTCCGAGAATTATGTTATATTCTGATGGGAAGTCAGCCACTATAAATCTTACACGTTCTGATTTGAACGCTTCTTTGGTTCCTTGGGTCAACCGGAGATCTATATAGCCTTTAGGAGGTGTATGCTCTCCATTAAAAGCTATCAATGTTGTTTTACAAGGTTCGAGGTCCTCCTCATCCAGGTTCATCTTTTTGAAAGCGTCCAATAGTATGATGTCGGCACTACTCCCTGCGTCAACAAAAATCTTTTTAACTCGGCAGTTTACCAGGGTTCCACCGATGACTAGTCCGTCAACATGCCCCGGCAACACGCCATGCATGTCCTCCTTTGTAAAATACAGCAAATGAGGATCTGGTTTGTTTGGGTCTTCCATGAATTTAGGACGGTCCCGAATTGAAAGGAACTCCTTCAAGTACTTCCTTCTTGCGCTTATAGTGTCACCCCCTCTTCCAAGGGCTCCACTGATTACGTTGCAATCGAATTCCGCTTCTGGGAACTCGTCGAAGTTGGGATCATCTTTGCGGTCCCTTTCGTCCTTGTTCTTCTTTTCAGGAACTGGACTTTTACTTCTCTTTCTGTTTCTCGACTTCCTTTTGTTGTTTTTGGACCCTTGGGTTTTGATCACGTATTGACGCAATCGTCCATCTCTCACAAATTTCTTCTCAGCATCTCGGAGATCCCAACATTGATCAGTTGTGTGGCCCGGCCCATCATGGAAGACACAGTATTTGGACTTGTCCAAACCTCCTCTGTCAAATATAGGCCGGGGTCTGTCCACCTTCTTTATTTCCGTCATTGCTACTTCCCTCCAGATTTGAGAGCGCGACGCATTCAACTGTGTATACTTGTCATATCTTCCAACCTGATCCCTCATGTCCGGGACTCTGGCGCGTGGGTCTTTTTTCTTATTGTCCACCCGTTCTTTCCCCTTTGGGGCCGGGCTCCTCCTTCTCGGGATAACTCTTTTGCCCTCTTCAGATTGCGCATTTGAAATCTCCATTTGCTCCAGTTCGAGATATTTCTTTGAACGAGTTCTGAATTCCTCCAACTTCCTCACCGGGTCCTTGTAGACCGACTTGGCTAGCCTGGAAGCACCATCCAAACCAGCCACAATGAGGTGTACATGGACATTCTCTTGCAACCCGGGCACCTGCAATACAACATCTTTGAACCGATTAAGATATTTCTGGACGGTTTCTCTGGGTTGCTGTCGTATCTTTTCGAGATCAACTCGGATTTCAGATGCTTTTTACTGGTTGCAAAATTTAAGAGGAATTTCTGTCCGAATTCCTCGATCGATCCGATGGAGTTAGCAGGGAGAGTTGAAAACCACGCCTGCGCTGCCCCAGTTAGGGTTATGGCAAATATCCGGGATATGAGGGGTTCGTCAATTCCTCGGATATACATGTCCGTGTCGAAAGCATCTATATGGACCTGTGGGTCTTGGCTCCCATAATACTTTGGCAAGCGTGCTGAGTCAAAGTCCTCAGGGAAGGCAGCGTTCAGTATTCTGCCAGTAAAAGGGCTGCTGTACTTCCTTCTGTATCCGCCAGGTTCCCCCCGACCTCGGATGTTCTGAGCATTTTTGTCAGGATGGGTCCTATTCCGGTCCTCCTGGCCGTTGGCTTGTGCCAGATGGTTTTGAGCATGTTGGCCCTCAGCAGCTTGGTTCCCGTAGTTCGGGTTTGCTGCGTTAGCCGGGTTGGGCCTTTCTTGATTTTCCATTTCAGGAACCCGGTTTGGCAGAATTAGGTTTCGAGTTCCTTCCCGGACATTGGCAGGCTGGCCTTCAGTTTCTGTTGCCCCTGGTCCAGTCAACTGCGTTAAGCGTTGTTCCAGGTCTCGCATTCCCCTATTATTTTCCTCTCGTATCGTCCGAAAATCTTGCTGTCGTTGCAGGTTATTACGAGTTTCCAATTATGCGATTCGTTCCATGATCGCAGCAAATGAATTATTAGCCAACCGAGTATCCGGATCGGCTTATCGGGCAATACGCGCAGCAAGATCTACTGGGTGCTGGGAGAGGTTGTTCCTTATTGGAGCCGTGACTGCGTCAGCCACCCTGTCTCGACGCGTTGGAGTAGACGCGGTGTCTGAGATGTCGTCCTCAACCTGGACGTGGTCATAGTCCACGTTGTTTCCTATCTGGTTTGAGATTGATTTACCTCTTCCAGGACTGGATCCAACGGTTGATTCTGGTTCTGGGGTGGTTGTTGGCTACTGCTCCTTGTCTGGATTGCCATCCTTTGTCAGGTTGGTGGGGACTTCCAATTCAAAGAAGATGAAATCCCCACAGACGGCGCCAATGTTCTGTCCTTGAGATAGAGATGTCCAGCCCAATAGGCTAGTATGTTTATCTTGGATCTAGTGCCCTCTCCAAGGTATCTATGAATGAGATATCCTTGAGTCAAGCAGATCACTGTGCACAGAATACTATAACGGCGTTAGCCAATGGGGTGTGCGCGCGCACAGTGATAGCATAACAGTAAGAGAGAGAGCGTAACGTACCTTTAGGGTTTACCTTGTATTTATAGAGGTTACCTGTGGGTAGTGTGGATGGGCCTTTGGTGCCTCTGGTGAGGGCTCATGCCTATTTGCTATGCTGTCGTATTACGATTAGTATCCTTGATGGATATTTATCTTTTGTTAATATCAATCAGTATCTTAGATTGCCTTTTGTTGGACTTACCACTTAATGGGCCCATTATATGGTCCATAACATATTTAATTTACAAAAGTATTATCTTAAAAAAGAAGAAAAAAAAAAGAAAAAAAAGTTCTTTCTACTGGAAATAAATTTTCGTATTTAACTTGTTGATGTTATTTGAGCATATTCTAATTATTAATAATCAAATCAATAGAAATGATTGTATAGCTTTTTAATGTAAGTTGTAAATGAAAAGGTCCAATCAATAAATTAGGCTTAGATTCTAATACAAAGCTTTTCAAGCTTGAGTAAATTATTTTATTTATTTTTTTCAGTTGGCTGTAATATGATGATAGAAGTATTTTGTTTCCTTGTATTAAACATGGTCCACTTTTAGAGTTCATTAAAAAAATGTATTAAATCATATTATAGTATTAAAACAATTTGACAATCATAATATGTTTTAATATCTGGCACTCTTTTATCGATGTATTAAAATTTTGGGCTTGTAATTTTTAATGTTGCATGCCAAATTCAAATTTTTCTACAGAAAGAGAAAGGGATGGAGTCCACCTTAAAGAAAAAAATAAAAAATAAAAAAATGATTAGTACAGATATCAAAGTGAGAGTGATAGAAGAGTAGACTTCTTATGCAACGTGAGAATTCTTTTACCTTAAATTTTTTTACATAAACAATAGATCAAAATTAAACTTATCATACATTGCCATTTGCCAGGATGCAGAAAGTTTTCAAACTTTCACATACAGCGTTGGTCTGGCCAATTTTTAAAGGGAAAAGTGTGTATAATTTTGAAGGATGTAAAGTTGTGTCATTTTAAGAGAGAGAAAGAGATAGATAAAGGAGGAGAGAGAGTTGACAAAAAAAAAAAAAAGTTGTGGGTCCCACCTCTTTGTGAGAGTGAAAGGATGTAAGTTGTGTAATTTAAATGTATAGACACTTTTCCCATTTTTAAAACTAAAAATGGAAAACACGAACAAGCAATACAAGCAAAATAAGCTAAGGAAGCCTAGTGAGAAGTGTTTTCCACTGCAAACAACCATTCAGAAACTTTGAATGAGAGTCAAGTTACTAAAAAATTGCAAAATTTCATACCCAACAACACACGTCTTATAAATCCACAGTTCAAAAGGACACCCAAGCAACAACATCTTCCGCACAGAATATCAACTTTTTCCATAACATTGATTGATTGACATAACCGAAGAACCAAAATGGCCTCCACTCAACCCAACAACTTCTACTTTCCATATTTCCCTCCCCCTCATTCCCCCTTCCACCCTTCACCACCACCTTCCCACTACTTCAACTCTCCACCACCACCCTCTCATTCATTTCCTCCTCCTCCTCCTCCATATGGCCACTCACCACCACCACCACCACCACCAACACCAACACCAACACCTCATCCATTTACTCCTCCGCCACCACATGTGTTCCCACCACCATCACCACATCGTCCTATTATGCCTCCTCCACCACATAGGCGCCCACCTCCGCCCCCACTTCCCCCGTCACCTTCTCCCAACCACCACATAGTCATAGTGGTTGTGTTTGTCTCATTGGGTGGCCTTCTGCTCCTTTCATTGCTCGCTTGTGCTCTATTCTGCTGCATTCAGAAGAGGAAGAAGAAGAAGACACAAGAAACTGATATCATTAACATTGATGAACATAAAGAGGTAAAGGAAACCATTGTGCCTGGTCCTTTTGGACAGAAAGCTGTAATAATAACAGTTGAAGATGATGTACATATCCACGAAGAAATCAGAAAGACAGAGAAATCTGAGCATGGTTTACATGCCATATCATCAGCTGAAGCAGATCAAGGCAATTCTAGCAACCTTGAGGAGGGAACTACTACTCCGAGTGCTGAACATCATCATCACAAGCATGATGAGAACAAGACCTGATTGAAAGAATTATGCATATGTTCCCACAGAGAATTATCCTCGTCCAAAGACTCCAAACAAGGATCCTAATTTAATTACCTGAATTACTTCAATAAATAAATATCCTTAATTTGTTTATATTTTTTTCCTTTCTTGTGTAATAAACCCCTTCATTTGTTAAATCTCCTCGAATCATTCAGGAGCCTTCACATAATAACAATTGAATTATTGCTTGCTTATGCTTAAAACTTCAAGCTTTGTCAAATGCATGATAATTCTGCTTTCTTAAATGGTTTTATCTATAAGAGGTGTATGTCAAATTACCCCTTGCCTTTGAAAATAAGATTCTCAGACAATGTGTTAAAACTTGAAAAACTCTCAATGTTTGAAGCAAACTCCTAATTTGATATAAAAGGTTAAATAATAATTTTCTCAACAAAAAAAAATACTAGGGGGAAAGTTGTTATGATAATCCAATGCGCATCAAATATGGAAATTGGATATGAACTTATTCAATTATTTTATCTTATCCATATTTATCATATTATGTATCAAACGAGTCCAAATATCTTAGTCATGCGAGAAGGAAAATACTGTTGCACTATTAATTGCAAACTAAACATAAATTACGACCAGTTACTGCTCACAATTTCTTTGGATAAAGCATCGGCCCGTGAATTACTCCTTGAGATATAATCATGTTTCTATAAATCTCTGTAAAAATCCCATTCAGCGGTTAAGATGTAAATGCTTTGATATCAGACATCTTCTGATCATTTTATTTTATTTTATAAACAACATGTATTTTCCGTGAGAGGCAACCTGTTTGGGGCGAGTTTAGATTAATTAAGGTTTTAAATTTTTCTCAAAGATGATACTGGAGATTATCAAACACATGCTTGTACCCCATAGATAAATCTTTGGTACTACTATTGTACCTAAGTGGGTACAACACTTTTCCACTTTTGAAATTTTTTTTAACACTTTTCAAATTCCTTTTTCCCGCTACATTGCACTTTTTTTCAAAATTGGCAAAATGTCATACCCACTTGGGTACAACAGTGATACCAAAGATTTATCCCACCCCCACCTGCTCAGTTCCCATGTGCCAATTGAGTTACCATCATTTGGCTACCCATCCTCTTCTCCTGATCATGTTCAAAAGGGAATTATGAACTTAAGCTATATAATTTTAATGTTTTTTGCGGATAATTATCTTAATAAATATGTGAACAATTTGTGATTTTATTATAGGCTTGAATGTTTCTGCAGTGATTTTATGTAAATAAGTTATCTATATTCATTATCAAAACAACGTCGTTTTGGATTGAAAGATTAAAATATTATAATGATAAAGACTATTATAACCTTGGAATAAATTTAATTATAAAAATATCTTGATTTCAGTCCCAAAATGACTTCTTTTTTAGCTCAATGGAGATAACTTATCTGCATTCACTGCAAAAAAAAACTAACTCTTTATTATAAGAGTGAGGATATTCTTACTATCAAAAAATTTACTATCAACTCACTACCTATCTAATGACCATTGCATCAGAGAGAGAGAGAGAAATGTTGAAAAGTTTCTGAAGAGGGAGAAAATGCTGATTCATAAATAGATAATGAGTTGGTAGCGGAGTTTTTTGGTAGTAAGAATATCATCTTTCTTATTGTAATACTCAATTTAAGTATATTTTGTTTTATAAGGTGTGCATGACAACCTTCTCGGAATCAATTTTTTTTTTTTAATTTCTGCTCCTGAGAACACAAATGGATAGAAAACTCCTTTGATATAATCGGTTATTTTTTTGTCCCGGGATGAACCGATTTATTTTTTGTGCTGGGAAACAGAAAAAAGAATAAAAAAATTTCTGCTTTTTTGTTCCTGGCACAAAATGAGAAATGTTTCTCTCTCAATTACTCTCCATCACTACCATTATCACCACTGCCGCCACCATCACGACACGACCACCGCTATTGTCGTACCACCACCACCACCTCCATGTCACCACCACCGTCATTATCACCACCACTATCACCAACCACTATCATCACTGCCACCACCATTATCACTACCACTGTCACCAACCACCACCACCACCACTACCATCATCATAGCCACTGCTACTACTGCCATCGCCGTTGCCGCCACCACTGCCCCCACTACACCACTGCCACCGCCGCTACCATGTTATATCCAACACCATCGTCGTAGACACTGCTGTCATTGCCGCCACCATCATGTCATTATCATCACCATCGTTGCAGCCACTGCCGTCACCACCACCACCACCATCACCGTCGCCACCACCGCCACGTCGTCACCATCACCACCATCGCCACCATTATCACCATCATCGTTGCGGCCAGTGCTGTCACCGCCATCATCACCACCACCACCACTACCATTACCGTCACCACCATTATCACTACTATCACCGCAACTATCACCACTATTATCGCCGCAGCTACTACCATCACCACCACCACACACTACCACCACAATGCCACCACCGCCGCTGTCACCATTACCGCCGCTGCTACCATGCCATCACCACTATTGCCACCGCCGCCGCCACCATTACCACCACCTCCACCACCATGACGCCACCGCTACCGCCACCACGACCACCACACCATATGAAATGGAAAATGATGATTCGAAAAAAAATTATCCTTAATGGGAATAATTTTTTATTATCAAACGCAATTCCTATTCTCGGAATAAAAATAAAATATTTTATCAAACATTTTTTTTTCTCAGAAATTGTTCCAAGGCACAGGAATAAAAAAGAATTGTTTCTTTTCAAAAATAGTGTCAGGGAACAGAATGGTTGTCATGCACACACTAAGTCAGCACATCGTACTTGTATGAAGTCAGTTAATTCTTAAAAGTATTATATGATTATAAAACTACTTAAAAATTATAATAAATTATGAAAAATGTGATTTAAACGTTAAGTTGTAAAAAAGTTGTTATTTAATAAAAATAACAAAAACTGTGTTGGCTTTTCAATCATCTATAAATCTATTAACAATATGTTATTATTTTAAAAATAATCAACCTATTTTTAAAGTGATATGATAAATTATTAAATTATTAACAAATAAGACATATATGTTATGGGTAAATCAACGGGTGTCACATTGACATGCTCAATTAATAAAACTGTAAAATATACAAGAGGGCACTAGAGGTCTATTATAATATATAACCAGAGCTTCGATGATCCCTAGAGCAATGAACGAGTGTAAACTTTTAAAAAAGAGAAAAGAAAATGAATAAATGCGCTGGCATTTAAAAATTCAAACACGCCCAGAAAAAGCAGCAAAAGATCCACAGGAATCAATTCAATCACTACTCGTCTCTCCAACTATTGTACCAAAACCACAGCACCCCCTGTTTCACAAATCCCCCTCGTTTGTTCAACCTGCCCTTTTTATGCCACATAACATTTCTTCAATGACCATAATACCCTTTTTATGTAGTCTATCACTGCCCTTTAACCATTGGCAATATTTTCTTAACTAAAAACATCCAACCAATCTAAAATCACAAGTTTTCCAACGTAATGGGTCCATTACTGACAGAATTTCTCATAACCTTCAACTAATTATGTCCAATAACTTAAAAAACACAACATGGCATTGCTGAAAATTATCAACCAAAAGAAGGGTTAATCACTAGTGACACTTCCTACAAATATCTCCCAATCTCTCACAAACAAAATTATTATTCCGCCTGCACAACACACATACATACCCAAAACCATGCAAATGCAAACATGCCACTCCATCAACACCACCCACAGTACTCTTCCACTTGTATGGACCCCGAGGAGTGGCCGCTACCAAACACACCGCCACCTCATGCCGCCACCAAGGTCCGCCGTCTCCGCCGCACCGCCCCCACTTAAAGCCCGGAAGACCCATTCCATGCCACCGGAAAAGATAGAGATTTTCAAGTCACTAGAGACCTGGGCTTCCCAGTCGGTCCTACCACTGCTGAAGCCCGTGGATGAATGCTGGCAGCCGCAGGACTTGGTCCCTGACTCATCGTTGCCGTTTGAGGAGTTCACCGATCAGGTGAAGGCCCTTCGCGACCGAACCAAGGAGCTACCGGACGAGTATTTCGTGGTGTTGGTGGGCGACATGGTGACAGAGGATGCGCTTCCCACGTACCAGAGCATGATCAACAACCTCGATGGGGTCGGGGATGAGATTGGGTCGAGCCCAAGCCCGTGGGCCGTTTGGACCCGGGCTTGGACTGCAGAAGAAAATAGGCATGGGGATTTGCTCAGAACTTATTTGTATCTTTCTGGTCGAGTTGATATGACCATGATCGAGAAGACTGTGCAATACCTCATCGGAGCTGGCATGGTCAGTTTTCTTTTTTCTTTTTAATTTATTTCTCCATTTTAAATCAAAATTTTGACTAACTGTATCTCAGAAATAAGAGTTTTATAAGAGTTACTTCGTAGGAAAAATGATTCTATAATGTTATAGAGATTTGTTTTGCGTGTTGTAATTTTTTTTTTTTTTTCAAAAGATGTGAGCCCCACCAAATGTTGTGTGTAAGAAAATTTGCTGTGTCACGTGACAAATGCAAATCCCGAAAAATAAATAGTTAAAGCAAGCATAAAAAAATATAGATATAATATCTTATCTTCATTTTAATTTAGTTGACAAGATTTGGATTACGTATGCATTTTATGAGGAGAGATATTCTCACTACCAAAATTTTTTACTACTAACTTACTACCTATCTAATCATCATTGAATCAAAGAGAGAAAATGTTAAAAAGTTTTTGAAAAAAGAGAAAATGTTGATTCAATGATGATTAGATAAGTAGTAAGTTAGTAGTAGAAAATTTTGGTAGTAAAAATATCCTTTCTCGCATTTTATTGAATTTAATTCCTATATGTAAGTAATAGGAGTTAGTTAATATTAGAGCTGGCAAAATGGGCCGAGCGGGCGGGGCGGGCTGAGTTTTCTAAACCTGTTGTCCGCCAAGTCCACCAGCCCGTCCGGGCTGATTTTTTTTTTTTAAAAAATTTTTAGTGTAAAATGTAACGGGCTTGGCGGGCAGCCCGCCCCGTCCGCCCAAGTGGGACGGGACTAGCAGAGATATCTAGCTCACTTTCAATGACGGGGCAGGGCGGGCCAGCCCACTTTTGGCGGACTTTTGGTGGGGCGGGACGGGCAGCCCGCTTTGCCACCTCTAGTTAATACGGTACTCATTTATTTACACATGGTAGTCTTAAGGTTTGATGAAAATGTAATAGTCCGTTTGGTTTGAATTGGGCAGGACCCTGGAACAGAAAACAACCCATATTTGGGGTTTGTGTATACGTCATTCCAAGAGCGAGCCACGTTCGTGTCACACGGCAACACGGCTCGGCTGGCGAAGGACGGCGGGGATCCGATGCTGGCGCGCATATGCGGGACCATCGCTGCGGACGAGAAGCGGCATGAGAATGCTTACTCGAGGATCGTGGAGAAGCTTCTAGAAGTGGACCCCACGGGGGCAATGGTAGCCATAGGGGACATGATGGAGAAGAAGATCACAATGCCAGCGCACCTTATGTACGATGGGGAGGACCCTAGGCTATTCGACCACTTCTCTGCGGTGGCACAGCGTATGGGTGTGTACACTGCCAATGATTATGCTGACATCTTGGAGTTTCTTATCGGACGGTGGAGATTGGAGAAGCTGGAAGGTTTAACGGGCGAGGGAAAGAGAGCGCAGGATTTCGTGTGTGGGTTAGCACCGAGGATTAGGAGGCTGCAGGAGCGAGCTGATGAACGGGCGCGAAAGTTGAAGAAGCCACATGGAGTCAAGTTCAGCTGGATCTTCAATAAAGAAGTGCTTTTGAGAGTTTGAGACTTTGAGTTGAGAACTTGAAATGACAACTACGGGCACAAGAACTTTTGGACAGTGGAAGCGTAGAACGTGAAGTGAAGCCTATTCAAGTTTGGAATAGTGAGTACCGAGCTGTGTTGGTACTTGGTAGGTGGTACTTGTGCTAACAATAATAATTAAGAAAGAATGAACACTGTGGATTGCGTGTAATGGAGATTGCTGTCTCTTCATAGTTGTTCTAGCGGATGCAAAACAGGTGAGACTTTTCCTGTGTAACGTTTGCCTTGTATCAAGTAACGTTTACTATTTATTTAAAAAAATAAGAGTTAAAATATCATAGATTGTAACCGAATCTTTGTATCGAATAATTATATGCTAATTAATAGCATATTTTGGATTTGATAATTTGATGGAATATTTACTTTTTTCTACAAGTTTTTTATTTTAAATTATTTTGAACATAAATAAATTAATCAAAATAAATTAAAATACACATTACGTTAAAATTATTAAATCATCAACCAGACTATAAAAGAATAAATTAAAACAATCATAATGCTTTAACAAGATTGAGGTGTATCCTTAAGTTATGTCATGAAAATCTTAATCAGAGATTAAAGTGGATTCCTAAGAAGAAGCACAAGAAAAAAGGACTAACAGGATCTAATTGGTAAAATTGGGACAAAATTATTATTAATTAAACCTTAAAGTGACCACCAAAAGCCCAAAGTGTGGAAGAGGAGATTAAGGTGTACCCTTATGTTTGGGCTAGCAGCCCAAAACCGTTGGACACAATTCATTATTTGCTTGTGGAATTTTTTTATTTTTTCTTATTTTGGTAAGAAAATACTTTTAAATGCTGTGGAGTGTATACAAGACGATAGTTGATAGGGAAATCAGAAGTTAGATATGTAGGAGAAGCTTTAGGCCGATGATGACTGTAATTAGACTGATGTAATTTGATTAGATGGGAAGATTTAAAATAAATGAGAAAATGGCACAAATTTAGTGATTGGAGGAAGCCAAAAGCAGCCCTAAATAATTAAGAAGTAGCTAATCAAAGCTAGATAATGAAAATATTTTTAGTGATACCATCACATTAAAAAGTTGATATATCCTGCTATGTACGAAGGGTGGTACACCGTTTAGGCACTAAAAAAATAAGACACATGCATATTATATTGTCATGTCAACACCACACGAGAGAGAAAATAATTACTGTCAGCGCTCAACAATATATTGATTAGTTATTACCAGTGTTGGTAGTACTGAAAACTCGGTATTATAGTAGCACTAAAAAAATGGGCTCCTAAATAAGAATTGGACCTTTTTTAGTTCATATTGGGCATTGGCTCAATTTGAATGAACTCATCAATCATTGATAAGCCATTAACGACCTGAATGGTTGTTGTATGCAGAGCCAGGAGGAAGGCAATCAATAAGACTTCAACTACCATTTTTCACAAACAAGTCAAAACCGGCCACAGTTTTGCATAATGAAGTCGTACATTTAGGTGCAACTCCTGGGTTGGGAACTTGGGATGAATGTCCGGTCACACTTGGCACTTGTTAACGAGTGTAAACGTTGTCGATAAGACGCCTCACGTTGGAGCATGTTATAGTTAATTCTGGAGAATATCCATATATTGCCCAAGAGTTGTTAAGTTGGGAGACACAAATCCAAAACTGGATTAGTCAGATTTATTAGGACTTCAGCCATTGGTTGATATCTAACAAAATTATAAAAACAGATTAATTGGAGATAAAGAGGACTTGAGAGATAAAGAGATTGGGGTGAGAGGATTACGGATGATAAAAGAGATACTTGAATTGTTTTCTTTTCTTTTTTTATGTGACCAGTGAGTTAATAATTTATAAAATTACAATTCAACAAAAATAAGGAAATCCTAATTTGAATTAAAAATTAATAAAATAACTGTAAATAAGATAATTTAAATAACTAAAAAAATAAACTAATACAATAATAAACAACTTGGAGAAGAAAAAGATTATGAATCTTAATTGCTATAAATTATGATTTATCTGTCATTATTACTGAGCCCAATATATTGTTCGCATGAGTATGGTTTAAATTTTTGAATTGTTGAATATCGATTTTGTTTGGAAGCTTTATAGGCAATCTAGTTATCCATTATAATATTTCCAAGCATGATTAATTCAAAGATTTGGATAAATCTAAATGTACCAATATGATAGTTAGGTTTGAAAGGCAAGTTTTTTGTCCGGAAATGAGTTATGACATTTAATATACGTATATTTAAAAAAAAAGTAAATTTCCTAACAAAAAACACGGTCTCCACTTTAGTTCCTTACACAAATAAATTAGTCTCGAGATTTCTAAGAAATTTAAAGTGAACCCATTTTAGTCCCTTTGAAGGACTAATATGGATCTTTTTTGAATTTGTGAGGGACCACGATTTCAACTAAATGGGTCCATTTTAAATTTTTTAGGGACCTCGAGACTTTTTTTTTTGTAAGGGACTAAAGTGGGGACCGTTTAAGGACCCAAAAGAGTATTTACTCTTAAAAAAATCTAGCTGGTTGGCCGTCGCTTATTCAATGGCTGCAATTTAGTTGATTATACAGGTTGAATAAGTGGGGAGAAAATCTGAGTTCGATTTTCATTAAATATATATTTGGGAAGTGGCGAAGAAGTTTAACTATGACTAAGTCTCTATTCATAATTAATCATATAGTCAGCTCAAATAATTGAAATTTGTGAGAATATACGAAGAATCGAGTTGCCTCAAAGAGATAATTAGAGTTAGTATAAAAAAAATATTAGTGCCAGATTTCTTAAAAAATGATTTAACCAAAGAATCGGATGATGGCTTTATATAAATTTATTTTGTATTTAAAATAACTTATGACTAAAATCTTACATGAAATACTTATATTTTTCTCTAAAAATCAAGCAAATCCTAACATGACTTTAATCTTTGATAGAGAATTTTACGTTGTTAGTGTAGCGTCATCGTCATGAATAGGCCATGGGCTTATTCTACCCTATTTATAAACTTGTCTCAGAACCTACTAGTTTATCAAAAAAAGTTGAGAAACACGTGTCCCTAAACCCTAATACTATGGACTACGTATATCCGTTTATTAAAATGGATACTTTTTTTTTTTTTTATCCCTTATTTTTTGTTTATATTTTTCTCTATATCTCAAAAAAATTTCTCATATAGTTAGGGTATAAATACTCGTTGTATCGAAAATTTGCTCGTCAATTGGGCTCAGTTTCTAGACTTCGAGAAGCCTGAACTCGTCATTGTTTTGTCACCTGCAGCTGATTTGTTAGGGCAATCTAAGTATTTGTATTCTTTTTATTTATTTTATGTAAAAACACAATTTAATCAAATCAGAAATAGACCTAGAGATGAGGGTTACAATATGTAATTAAGCACAACTTAAGAAAAAAAAAAGGTTTCATATTATTTGAAGAGTACGATGCCTTCTAAAGATATTTTAGTATATTTGACAATTATTAAACACGGTTTTAACTTTTATCAATCACGGAATTTGTTTATACTAATAATTTGTTGATGAAAACTTCATCAATGTTATTGTCAAAATATACTTTATTAGTGAAAAGCCAGATCCTAGAAAAAGAAGGTTTGTTCTCTACTTTCCTGGCAAGATCATAATATATATGTAATATTTTTCCCAAAAGGAAAGAAACTATGATGCTGGAAGGCTTCTGCTAGAAGAAATCTCAGAATATTAAGACTCATATATTCCGTATTATATATGTCGATCTATAATCATTAGTTGGAAAAGACAAGTATTGGGTTATAAACAACCTTATTTTGTTACTATTGTATGCTACAACTCATTCCCCACCTCTTCCATTAAATGGCAAAAAGAAGAGTACTCTGCTTTTCAAAGCCTTAATTCGGTGGTAATGACTACTGAGGCCTCTGCTTCACATACAATCAATTACTATATTCTTATTGGTTTGATATATTGAAGACAAAAGAGATATAAATTTTGCTAAATGTTGCCTTCCTTTTTTTCTTTGGTGGGGGAAACTTTTCCAACCTCCAACAGGAAAGCAAATCTCCTACCTTAATAATAATTGGTTATGATAATATTTATTTCTCTTTCGGCTACCACTAATCTATGTAGTTGTCCATGTCCCCTTGAAGAACTATAAACCCTCGCTACTACTTTTTGTGTTATATTGTCACACACCTTGTATTACGTACAACCATAAGCCTTTTGGCTTTTGAAGTGTTGGCCTTACCTAAGTCAACCTTCTCCGCAGGTAATGTCTACAATAATGGAAAGGCTTCTTATATAATGGTGGTCGGTGCTGACAGAATTATGGGGGAACATGGAAGCGTTCCGATATATATACAACTTTGCAGATATTCTAGCTAGCTATTCTAGTAGGGCTATCATAGTTTAGATGACACTTTTTTCAATGCACCGATTCTTCTTTGAAGTTGTAGCTTTTTTCTCACCCTTCACAAGCCAAGAAATATGTAATATAGGAGAGTTATTGGTAAGGAAACTAACATGCCAAAGATAACCCTGCAAAAGGAAAAGAAGAGAGAAATTTTATAATCTATAAATGGATTGCCCGTGAAAGTTATATATGCAAGCAATCTCTTTCATCTAGAATAATCGCAAATAACATTAGCTTGATTTAATTTGACTTTTAAGAATAACTTGATAGGTAGCCTAAGTAGGCATCAAATGGTGGGTTAATTAAAAGCCTTACAAGATGAAGTTTTGCAAAAAGCCTACTAAGTTTTCAGCCTAAAAAACCCTTTACTAATGATTACTTGCTAAAAAGGTAACAGGGGGGGCTAGAAAATCCTTCCAGGATTAATTTTGCGAGAAATTTGTCATGAAAAGGCAAATGGATTTTCAATCACCACTAACATCCACAATTATGAGTGTCTAAATTATACATGCCCTGGTTGTTGACATTAATTAATCTGTTTGACAGATTCGGTATCCTAGTTAGAGCTTCATAATAATCAATTTATTATGCGGGGAAGATTAAAACTTCAATAGGATGCGTCTGAAGTTATGATTTGTCTTCCCATCATTTCTTTTTCTGAGTACTTTATCCCCCAATCAACCTTCTACAATGAATAGTACCCCACTCGCACGCAACTAAAAACATGATGTTGTATCATTAAATTGTTTAGGGGTTCTCACTTTTAATTAAAAAAGCGAAAAACATTTTCCTATACATGTAATGCAATGTAGCAGAATACTGAGAGCATGGTATGCAGCATTAGATTGTGTAACGCATTAGTATTTGTATTTTAGTTCATAAGTTTTTCATTTCATAATGCTATGCATAAAGTGGAAATAAATAAGGTCTTACAAATAAAATTTCGAAACTTACCCTGTGCTCAAAATATCAGGATGCAGCCCATATTCCCTTGCAAATACAAATGGCACTATCCCTTGTGGAAGAGCTGCCTGAGAAGCAAATTAAGGCAAAGTTAAGTAACATATGTACAGCAATTTTAGATCACGACCAAATAGGTGATATTTAATTTTACATTTAGAAACATTTATGATACTGGAAGCATACACACATTGTTCTTATATATGAGCAATAATTTCCATGTGCTGCATGTGCCGATGTAAATTAATTCCACATATGTGTATAACACAAGTACCTGTACAATGGCAGTATGTAGTTTGTCTCGTCTCAATCCAACGGCAATGGAGGAAGCTGACATTACAAGAGGTCCGCATAGGAATCGGATGGCCATTCCCATGGCTGCTCTTTTGGTACCGCAGGCAATGATACGGGGCTGAAGGGCCATGAAAAGCCCTGCATATATGGCAATGAGTATCTGTCATTGATTTATATAGATATATGACCCATTTTGGTACTCATCTTCATACTCGCATTTCACTTCCAACATCATGTGCTATTGGGACATGTCATTTATTTTATTGGGTTTCCACAAACACCTGAGTACAAGACAATACATATGCTCTCTTTTCCTTCTTTTCTTCTGTCTTCCTCTCCAATGTTGATTTATGTTAGTTGAATTGTCTAACATGGATATATATAGGAACAAACTCCATGTATGTATGTATACACAAACGCACTAATATGCATGATAGAATTCATTATGCTTATACATTTGTAATGTACCTAAGCTAAACATAGCCATCCCAAGGCCTGCATCCGAGATGATTTTGATAGATGATTTGATCAGACTAGGCATCTCCATATTCCATCTGCAAATTCACATCATAAAATGTATTTAAATATACATAGAGTAAAGTATAATTAGTAACTATATATATGCAGAACGGTTTTCTTATGAATATAAAATTTAAGACGAGAGATTAGTTGTCCAGTCTAAGTTCAAGACAGTTAATGTGTGGTTTAATTAATTACATTTGGTATCACTTATTCGCTTTTTGGTAAAAAGGTTCAGCATATCACTTACTTGAAGGAGATTAGAGACCAAACTAGTCCTAATACACTAGAATATGTATTAGGGTTTCGAGAAAGTTTTCTGCCTACTACGATAAGTGTAAGCCTTATCATGACAAAGGCGTGTGGCATTTTCTGGTTACCGGCAACTGCATCTTTGGTGTCCGCAGCTTCCCCTGGCATTGGAAATTTAATGCTGTCCCTGAAGCTAATTTCTTTATCTGTCATAATAGCCAAAATTATTATAATAAAAAAAACTATTAATATATGCAAAGTTTTGAAACAAAAAAATACTGCTGATAAATCAAGCTCATAATCCCCTGCCACCTACATCACATAATTGATTGTGAATAAATAGTGAGAGTGAGACTTAAATAACAACATTGAGAAATGAAATTATAGGTACCTATGATTCGGTGTTATGATTTGGAGGGACCGGACACCATTTTCACCACCAATTAGGGAATAATACTACCTCGACCATCATTACACACGTGCTCTCTTCCAAATGATGGCTACTATCAATTAAGCTTCTGACTAAGCAAAGTGGCAAACTTATATATATATAAAAGTAAAAAATTCTATATTGGTTTGACTACTTTGTATTATTTTTTTTACTTTTTAAGTAGCTGAATGTTTTTCACTAAAGATGGCGTGTGAGGGTGGGAGGGACCACCTGTCTAGTGCCCTGTGGTACTCATGAGGATCTAAACTCAATTATAAAGCCATCCTTTTAACTCCTTTTTCAGAATTCAATATGCATATTCATTGCTCACGTGCATAGTTTACATTTTATGATGGAACACAACAAAACAAGTGGTAATTCTCAAAGGAAAGCCCACGACTTCTTTTTCTTTAATTAACAGCTAAAAAATTTAAGCTTCTCTTGAAGTGAAATCTCATGAATTAACCTAAAATGCATGTATACTCTCGCAATATATTGTCTCGGTAATTTGTTGTTTTCACTTTGGAAAGAGAAATGGCCAAGCTATTTTACCGTCCTTCCTCTGCATATCTGTCTATAATTTTGAAATTACTGACACATGTTCAGTGCTAAACACAAAACCAAAACAAATAGCACAAAATAATGCTCAAAAAATTATCACATGATACGACAAGGACATTAGCTGAAGATGGTCGGGGACAAAACGTACACCCAATACCTGAAAAGGTCGCATGGGCATGCGCTAGCTCAACATATAGTACGTTTGACGTAATTCTGATATACTATGCCAACACACTGCCATTAAAAACGACATGTCTTCTTCCACCCATTCCCAGAAAACGACGACGTTATATTCACGGGACATTTGTAATAATGGATCTAATATTTTCAATTTTAATAGTGTAAAATAAAAATTAAATGATTATAGAATTCTCACGTGTCATTAGTATTATATGTAAATTATAGAAATAAAATAAAATAAACATTATACGTGTTGATATACAGACACATCATTAAATGATTATGTAGTGAATCAAATTTGAACTTATACAGGTTATTAAAATTGATGTAGTGACTTTTTGGGAGTTTTTTTTTTATTTTTTTTTCTTCTTATAAGTAGAAGTTAGTCCAAATAAATTTTTACAAAAATTCTTATAATAAAAATAATTTTTTTTATAATAAAGAAAAAAGTCAAAAGTTAAAACTCCCAGAAGAAAATATTTTTTAAGTGTCATATTTTTTTATGAAATGAATAAATTTTTTTTTTAAATGAACTTCTATTAAATAATTTGTAAGTTAAAATTTTTATAAAATTATCAAATAATTTTTAACTATATTTTTTAAATCTTTTTTTTGTTTTAAATTAAAAATAATATTTAGCTTAAAAAAAATGAAAAACAAATAACGATAGATTTGAATAATTTGCATGAGATTATAGAATTAATCAATTGATCTGATCGAATCGGGCACCACTAAAAGAGTATTAAAATTCTCCCTACTAAATTTCTAACCCAACATATCTAGAACTCAAATTCAAAATCACTAAACCTTTATTAGTTGATCGCACCTGCTTGATCGCATATTTTGCATTAAAATTTATTGGTTGCATTTTTATTAAAAATTTATAATATCTAATTATGAGAATAATTGTTAAATTTTATGTATCATATTTGATGTGTGCTTGAGAAGCCACTCACTATTACGGAACAAAAACTTAACCACACGTACCTGACATAGTAATGTCTTTGCATCCTTGTCTCTCTTCTCCCTGGCATTTCCCCGGTGACTCCCAAACCACCCTGGCTCCCGATAACGCCGGCGGAGACTGACGGAAAACCCTGCCGGCGGACACAGGAGATCTCCCCCACGCGGGCGTGCTGGTGGCCGTCGTCTCCATCTCGTTGAAATTCGAGGCCCGCGGCGTAGGCTGCAGAGAGTAGGCGTCGGATGAGGCGTAGCCAAAGGCGAGATCGCCGTCTCCGGCGTGCAGCTGCAGCGGCGTGTTGATTGAGAAGATGTCGGCGTTGGAGAGGTTGGAGATTCTCGGAGTGATGATATTGCCATTGCCAATGGATGAGTTTGATTCAGGAGCTGAGGAAACAGATCGCCGGATTCGTACGCAAATGCGGCCGTTGTTGTCGGTTTCCGATTCGGTTCGCAGCGGCATGTCGTGGCCGTCGAGGGATATTATGTCCCCGTCAAGCTCGATTTTTGTTATAGACGCCGCTGTGGGCCCTGGGAACTGGCTTTGGATCAATAGTGTCGCCGCTCTGTATTCGAATAGGAACAGCAGTAGAGTATACCTGAAGCAAAAATCATACAATCATGTATATAAGTTTTAAAAAATAAAATAAAATAAACAGAATCAACTTTTCATCATTTTTAAAGAGAATAATTGATATAAAATTTAGGTGTGAGAGAGTGCTAAGGTAGTTGTCACTAGATTAATAAGAAAGTCACTCATAAGTCTAATCTCGTGTAGAATCACTTTTTATAACCGTGAATCAATTTGTAAAATATTGTTTCAGCTTAATCAGTAATTTTGAGTTCAAATATATAATTGTATGGCTTGAACATATTAATCCATGAACCGGTGAAGAAATTTAAAAAAAATAAAATCACTTATTATAATTTGTGTCATTTAGTTTTTTAATACGTAGTCTTACTTTACATTTGGGGGACTAATTACATTTTTCTAGCTTAATTGTTCGCTGACATCTTAAAATTCTAACCTTTTTTTTTTTTTTTTTGGTTTTGGGATCATTGGGTAGAGCATTACTTGTTAAAAAAAAGGTTTGTGAAAACATAAATGAGTGAAGCGGAATTGGTTAGTTAAAGTGAAGAAATAATTGGTACCATATGATGCATTGGAGGACAACTAGTTGCACCATGAGGCTTTGGGTGAAGTCGCCGTACATGGCTTGGAGGAGAGGGATGCCCATGACGAGTGTATTGGGCAAGGTGGCGAGGGAGAAGAGAGTGATGAGCCAGTCCAAGGAGCCTTTGGTGAAGAAGATGGCCCAAAGGGAGAGCAAGAGTAGGACGAGGAGCTTGGAGATTGTGTCTGCTATGATGAACTTTATGTCCATTTGGTAAGGGTTGTTGATGGAAATGAAGTGGAACGAGAGCACAGGAACTGCAAACACTGCCACGAAGCGGTTGATTCCGGAACATTGGTCTGGGGTGAACATCTTGCACCATTTCACTGAAGCGTATGCTACTAGCATTGCGAAATATAGAGGCACCATGGCACACATCACCTTGTACAAATCATCTCCTGTTATCATCTTTGCTACTAGACTTGGTTCTTTGAATGGAGATGTGTGGTGTGGTTAATAATGGGAAGGGACTGGGGATATGGAGTTGTATTTATATTATTATTATGTTTCAGTATGAATGAGAGATAATGGGGTGGGGGATAATGGGGCTGGAGGGATATTATAGGGCACTCATGGACTGGTTTGCCCTTTCCAAAACCACTATTTTACTACCAATATATTGTACTCAGTGCTTAGTGCTATTTGCGGTTGTTAGTGTTAATGATTGTCATATATTACACTAATAAATCTTTCTACTACTGTTAATATTCAGTGCATCTCATCAATGAAAGTATTATACATCAGAGAAGAAAAAAAAAATTTTAACTGACGCGTAATATTTTCATTAGTAGAATGCACTGAATCTTTGGTACAATAGTAGTACCAAAGATTTATTCATATTACACCTTTCACCGTGGCAAAATTTTTTGGAGGGGGAACCATGTCAGCTTCCTTTGCTTTTATTTGGAAAAAGAAACTGAAGAGATCAAAGGAATAAATAAACAGCGGGGAGATTAATGAAAATCACATCAATACTATTTTGAATTTTGGCTTTTTATGACCTTCTTAATTTAACTCCTTCCTTATTTTTTTTTATTTTTACATACTTTCTCATTCTAGTTGTGTCTAAACAACCACTTGTTTTATTAATGCCGATAAAAGAAAGAATGAACTTTTACAAACAAGAAAAAATGTTTAATTAATGCATGTTTTATATAACATATGATTATTAACAAGACTTTTTAGCTAACAACAAAAGTATGCAAGTGCTTTAGATATTGCAGACATTCTAAAACTGTAAGGACTTAAACTTTATCTATGCTCCATTTTGTCTGCTCTATAATGGTTTGGCTTGCAGGGGCCGTCCTGGATATGTCGCAGCACTATTCATTTGACAACACATGTAACTCAAAATAATTTAAAATTTTGTCTCTCTAGCACACTTAATGACCCAAATCGATCCCCTGCAACTAAGAATAATATTTAAGTTTTATACAAAAGATGATTACATAAAATAAATTCAAACTTCCAGTAAAATCTACTTATATATTATGGGTTTGACTTGGGTCAAGATAAATATAATATACTGTTTATAAAATTATAAATAATGTCTATAAAGTAGAATATAAGAACAATTAATATAATTTCTTACAAACTACACGAATGATCATGGCTTAATCGACTTACAAAATACATGTAAATAAATAATCAAATACCATATTTCTTTATGTTCATTGCTTATAATCAACGAGGCGCCGTGAGACGCCCCCTGGCCCCTAGAAGAGCTTATAATTTATTTTTGATATATTAAAATTTCGTTTAATTTTTTATATAAAGCTTAATTATATTTTCTCCGCATTAATTAGTGTGCACGTGCAAAAGTTTTATTTTATTTTTTTGGTATAAATTTTTTTATTCTTTAAAATATGGTTAAAGTAATTTGTAAACTGATAAATTATTTGTGATATTTATTTAATTTTCCTTCATACCAATTAGGCAAATCGCATTTGGTTTTAAATTGATAATTTTGTTATCTTCTGATATTATCGCTGTAAATTATCATGGTGTGTGGATTTTCTTTAGAATAAAGCTCGCACTGAAAATTCAGGCAGTCGGTGATTTAAAAGGGAACAGTGATGAAGCAAAATAAATTAAATTAATTAGACGAGAATATGAGAAAATTACATCGGCCAACGAATTGCAGTTGCTCCTCCATTTGAAGTAGACTTGGGATACGACAGGGTAGACGAGGTCGTGTGGATTTCCCATCCTTGTTACCGCAAAAATATTTTTACTCAATTAAAGTTTGAACCTTATTAACTGCAAATTAGCTAAAGAGAAACACCTCTCGAAAAAACATGTACAATATGTTTTTTTTTTTTTTGATATAAATCGCAGGCCTAGCCCAGCAAAACTATAAAGACAACTGATGCATGCTAAAGTTCACATGCTCTATCAGTAAATTCACCCTAAGGGGGTGTTTGGTTCAAGTTTTTAGAGAGGATTACCGGTAATCCTTCTTTGGTAAATGTAATTACCACATTTGGTAGAAGGAATAAATTACGATTCCCGGATATCCAAGAATTACCGGTAATTTGATTTATAAAGAAAAGTCACTATTCAGATTACCAAAAATAATATGGTAATTCGGAATACCAATCAGAATACCAAGTAAAGGGAAAGCACAACAATAAATTTTGAGACAAAAATACCTCAATACACATAAAAATCTAGACTCAATCTATCAATTACAAAAGTAAAAATAGTTTGGGGTTATTTTTGTAAAATAACCTCATATTCCAAGTCATATTTCGTTCTAAACCAAATATGGAATCAGTAATTTTTACCCAATATTCCCGGTAATATTTTGGCGAACCAAACACATCTTTCGTAAGATTCCAAGTAAACTCAATTTCTACTGAATTCCCATTAATCATGATTCCCGGTCACCAAAAAATTTCTCCTGTACCAAACACACCCTAAAGGTGTTCCACAAATCTACTATGCTTTCAGGAGGAGAGGCAAACACCCTTACCTCACCCCCCTTAAAATATAAACCTGTCTTAGCTAACAGATCTGCAAGAGCAATACGTTCTCTAGGTATGTATTCCACCTGAACAAGCTCAAATGAATTGGCAGCTTTCCTTATATCAGCAATCAAAGAGGAAAAGCTGTAAATTTCAGACTCGTCCTCTAAGCACGAAATTGCTTCCTCACGGTCACTTCCCATCAAAACCTTGGATAAATTTAATCTTGCAGCTAGCTAGAGTCCATGGAATATGCCTACTAACTCAGCTTCCAAAGAAGAGCATTTTCCTATTGTAAAGAACCTTGGGATACACCACTCCAAAAGCTAGTTTTTTTTTTTTTTTTGAAAAGTTCCAAAGCTAGTTAGTGCTCTATTAGTTGAGCTAGCTTTTGGGGTGCTGTATCCCAAGGTTCTTTACATGGTATCAGAGCTTCGTCGCCCCCCCCCCCCCACTTTCTCTTGTGGCGTTTCTTAGCACAGTTAGGCTGGGCCTGTTGCATTGTCCACTCTTCAAGCCCAATGGGCTCTCGTGTGAGGGGGCGTGTTGAGATATATAGTCCCACATTGGTTGTATGTGCAACTAATGTGGAGTTTATAAGGTCTTGGGCACTCCCACCCTTTGAGCTAGCTTTTGGGGTGGTAACCTCAAAGTTCTTAACACCTATCGAATAGGAAAATCCACTTAGCCATTCACCATTAACTGAGCAAGCAAAATCTCCACATGCTCCCTTTTTACTAGCTAGGCTGACTGCACCATCAACATAGATCCTCACCTTACAGCTAGAGTCCTCCTGACCAGTACCCTTAAGGATTAAATACTGGTTATCGTCAACAGCATTTGCTTCACCATTTCTTCTCCTCCTCATCTCCTTCAAGTAGCAAAGAATTTTATAGACTGGATACAGAGGTCTAGAGAATAGCACCTCATGAATGGTAGCATTCCTCCACTGCCAAATGAACCAGCAAGTCATCACAAAGATTTCAGTCCACGAATGTCACAATTGAGAATTAAACTTTTTAATCAAATTTAATCTGAACCACTCCAAGTTATCAGATTGCAGAAAACTCCTAGGGATATTACCATCAAACCATATCTCCCAAATTCTTCTAGCAGCAGTACAGTCTCTTAGCAAATGCATCAATGATTCATGCCCAGCAGCACAAGTTGGACAAAGAATCTCCCCTGCACTCCAAAGAGAAGTGATGCTCCTCACAGGCAACTTGTTAAGGCAGGCTAACCAGAGAAAAACAGCCATCCTAAAAGGTCCCTTCCACTGCCAAACTGCAGCCCAAATTTTGTCCCTATCATACTTCGAATTCAACAACAGGCAGTATGCATTTTTCACCACTGATTTTCCAGAAACAAGATTTCTCCATTTGAGCCAATCCTCAGAACAGGTGGCATCAGGGGTGCACATCTTACTCAGCTTGCTGCAAGTAATCCTGTCCAGGTACTTACTCAAGTAAGCCCAATCCCATTCTTTCCTTCTATAGTCAACCACTTCACTCACCTTAAGACTAAGGTCAGTTATTGGAGGTTTGACCGAAGCCTATCAAACATAGTCTCCTGCCATCCTCCCCACATATCTGTCCAAAAAAACACAGATTTGCCATTTTCTACCACCCATTCCAGGTTCTGATCAATCTTGGCTCGAGCATAGACAATATTCTTCCAAAGAACCGAGTCACTATTCTTAGCTGTTAACCCCCTGCTAGGATCCAGATTTCTACCATATTTACCTAGCAAAACTTGAACCCAAAGACTGTTCTTATTCTCTATAATCTTCCATGCTAGTTTATGCATAAACGCTTCATTTTGAGTCCTTAGGTTGATAATGACTAACCCTCCACACTCCTTTGGTTGGCACATCCTCTCCCAAGCCACATAATGAGCCTTTCTTTTATCAGCCTCATCTCCCCAAATAAAATTTCTTTGTAATCTCTCAATGTCATTGCACACATGAACTGGGATCAAATTGTTCTGCATATGGTAGGAAGGGATAGCTGAAATGACACTTTTTGCTAATGTGATCCTCCCTGCCATAGAGAGACATTTAGACTTCCAGCCTTGGAGCCTGGCCTGAACTCTTGAAATAACCTCTGAGTAATGATCCCTGTTAGCTCTACCATGTCTCATCAAGGCTCCTAGATACCTACCAAGGTTCTTAACCACCTTGAAACCACTAGCATCAGCAATGGATTGGATAACCTCCTGATCTGAGTTTTTTTAGAGAAATAGATACAAGATTTCTCAAAACTCCCATATTGACCTGACATCATGGAGAACTTGTCAAGACAATTAACAACACAATTGAGCTGGCTTAAAGAGGCTTCTGCAAATAAGATTATGTCATCAGCAAACAAAATATGTGAAATATGTGGCCCAGCTCTCAATGGACACCATGATTTACTCTCCACTGCATCATTAATCAAATGAGATAGCTTTTCCATGCATAGCACAAAAATATAAGGGGATAGAGGGTCCCCTTGTCTAATACCTCTCTGAGAGCAAAAACTAGGGGTTCTAGCACCATTCCAAAGCACCTACAACACTGGGCTAGTCACACAACCCATGATAGCTTCCACCAAAGACCTAGGAAATTTCAGCTCTTCCAATACTGCTCTAATGAACTTCCAGTTCAGCTTATCATAAGCCTTTTCCAAATCTATCTTAATAGAAAAGAAGCCTTTCTTACCTTTCAACCTGTGCATAGAGTGTATAAGTTCTTGGACTATGATTATATTGTCCTGAGTATTCCTCTTCGTCACAAAACTGGCCTGATTTGGAGACACCAGTTCTCCTAATAATGGTTTCACTCTATTAGCCAAGATCTTGCTAAGCCCTTTGTAAATAGAATTACAAAGGGCTATAGGCCGAAATTGCTTCATCAAGCAAGGTCTTTCCACCTTTGGAATTAACACAACAAGGGTGTGATTTATTTCACCAATCTGCTTCGGACTCTCCAAGTAATGTTGCATGCTTTTAAGAACTTGATCTTTAATCATCTCCCAGTTCCTCTGATAAAAAACAGCTGGAAACCCATCTACTCCAGGAGCCTTCAAAGGAGGCATTTGAAAAAAAGTCTTTTTCACTTCCTCTAAAGTTAATTCTGCTTCCAAACTATCAACATGATCCACCTTTAAGCTTGGCCAAGAGTTGTTAGTTAGGAACCAACTTGCATCTTTAGAATCCTCCTTAAACAACTTTAGGGAAAACTCCCTTGCAAGGTTAATTAAATTTTCCTCCTCAATCACCCAATTGCGTTTGTTATCCTGAAGCTTAAGAACTTTGTTTCTTTTTCTTCTAATAACTGTGCTAGTGTGATAGTATTTAGTGTTCCTGTCTCCATCTCTTATCCACTCCCCTCTAGACTTTTGGAACCAGATTTGCTCCTCTTGATCAAGGATTACAGACAGCTCCTTGTTCAAGATAGCCTCCAGCTTCTCTAACTGCAAACTGTTAGCAGAGCTGATCCTCCTTTGTATCCCCTCCAATCTGGCTATGATTCTGTTTTTTCTCCAGTGAGTGAAGCCAAATACTTTTTTATTCCACTCCTTAAGCATTGGAACAAGAGAGTTCAGGTTGTCCATCAAACTATCTGAAGGAACCCAACTATTTTTCAGAAAAGGAAGAAATCTGGCAACATTCTGCCAAACAGCCAAGTACCTAAAAGGTCTTTCCCTCCAGCAAAACTCCTCTCTCACCATTCTGACCAGAATTGGGCTATGGTCCGAGAACAGTCTAGGCAAGACAATAATATCAGCCTCCTCAAAAGCAGCCCTCCAAGCTTCATTTCCTACTGCCCTATCAAGTCTTTTATAAACTCTCTCTAAATGGAGAAATTTAGGGCCTTTCCAAGTGAATCTGTTACCTCCTCCTCCCAAATCCATAACCCCACACTCATTTAGCACTCTTGCAAACTGACAACACCTATTACCATCCACAGGGCCCCCACCTTTTTTTTCAGAAGCCATGGCTATCTCATTGAAATCACCAGACAGAAGCCAAAGTTCATTTAAATTACTGCCCAAAGCTTTTAATTCCTCCCAAAGCTCTTGACGGTTATTGTAATAAGGACTAGCATAAACTGCTGTCCAGAAAAAACCTTCCAAATCAAGGGACTCAACCCAAACATGAATGAACTGGTCATGCTTAGAAATGAGAGTTATCTTAACATCCCTGTTATTCCAAACCAGCCAGATACCCCCAGCAAAATCAAGAGCATCAGCAACTATACAGTTAGAAAAACCTAAACTATGAATTATTTCTATTTGCTTTTAAACCACTAACTCTAGGCTCTAGAATAGCAGCCACATATACTTTCTAAAGAATCTAGAAAAAGTACTCTTGAACTGTTTTTTTGCAGCCCCCCTACAATTCCAAGATATGATATTCATGACAAAGATTGGTTTAGTTGCAAGTTCTCAAAGCACTTGCTACTTAAATCTTGCTTAACAGATAAAGACTCACACCCAACAGTAAACTCATGAATACCTAGAGACTTACAATCAACATTCATAGAACAAAATTCAGGATTACCTCCCAAACCTGATGCTTTATCTACCTCCATTCCTGACTGAATAGCTTCCTCTTTTACTTCCTTTAACATATCTTGATCTGGTGGATCAGGATCATTTTCTAACTCTTCAAAGACCACCTTCTCTTCAACCAGATTCCCAGCAGTTCCTTCCTCCAACGAGTTTTAATCAGCCAACATCAAATCTCCCCAAAGCTGACCCTTGAACTGCCCCCCATTGGTTTGCCTTTGTACTCCTGATTGAACCTGCCCTACCCAAATATTATCAGAAGCAATAACAGCAGGAGATTGGGAAGCTACTCCTTTGCCTTTGCTATTGGTTTTCTTGGGATTGTGCCTTTTAGTTATACTCACAGGATTTTTGGCTCCTGTAGTTTTCCTAGGCTGACTAGGTGCAGCAGCCGAAAAGCTCATCCCACCAGCATTTGACTTATCAATGCTCTTCAACCCCTCATTTTCCTTATGCATATTTCCCTCCCTGCTAGCTTCATTAACATGTTGACTTGCTTCAATTTTCACAGCCTGAAAACCTTGGGAACTCTTACCAATTCTACCATTATCCTCTATCTCATTAGTGCTCTTCTTATTTGAAATATCTTCACCAAACTTCCTTCCACCTGCATTAACCTTTTTCTGGCCAGTTTGCTGAATTCTTTTTTTTCGCTGGACTATCATCCAAGGTCCTACCCCATGAGAACACTGGTCAGTCACTGGTTGCTCCGGAATTCCTTCTTTTTCTTTGGTGTAAACCGGTTTAGCATAATCAGGGCATAAATTCGCATTATGCCCATATTTCCCACATCTCAGACAAATAAGGAACAGACCTTCGTATTCCACTTGCTTTCTACATCCATCAAGGATGTATTCTCCTCTCAACGGCTTGGAGAGATCCACCTCAATACAAACTTTAGCAAATCTAGCCTTGTCCCCAGTTGATGTCGTTCTATCCACCTTTAAGACCTTTCCTATTACCGTACCCAATTGACTAAGGAAAGGGAACTCACCGTATTCTTGAGGAACTCCAAGAAGTCTAACCCATGCAGCCACCTTATGAATATTTGCCTTGTCTGGATCAAAGCACGGTTCCCATTTCCTAGTGGCAAGGTAATGCCCCAAAGTAATCCATGGACCCCCAGTAATGGCCAGATTGAGGTCTTCAAGAGAGCTGAACCTCACTGAAAAAAATTCGTTCCCTAAATCCGCCACCGTGATGCTACTGGCTTTAGCCCAAAAGGATTCCAGCTTCTTCTTCATGAACCCCACTCCTAATTTCTTTCCTAGCAGCTTGTCAATAAGAGCGTTTTTCCAACGTTGACGCATCCTAGCCCTTGCTTCACTGTTACTCTTAATCTACACCGAGCCATCTTCCCTGAAGATAGTCTGAAAGCCCCATTTGGAAATTACCCCCAAGTTTGGGTCTAAAGGCTCCAGATCAACATCCTCTTCCTCCATCAACCAAGGAATAGCATCCCCAACCACCCCGTTCTCCGCCCCAGTAACGTCTGCAAAGGATCTTTGCTTCGCTTTCATCGGAGAACCAGACTGAAAAACCTTCACCGCTTCCCTCAATCTTACCTCAGCCAGAATTTCTACCCCATCCTTCGATCTCTTAGAACTCTTCCTCTCAATTCGCAAAGCCTCATCACCAGCGTCAGTATTTTCTTCCATCGAAACCCACGCAGAAAGAAATAAACGAAAACCCTATCACACCAGAAAAAAATCGCGCGCGTGAGCTAACGCGCCTAACCCATCTCTCATCTTTTTTGTTTACAAATGGCTTTTTTACATGTACAATATGTTTAATAGAGAAGGATTCATTTACAAACTTTTTTTATAAATTTATATAAATTACACTATTTTCTTCCGGGAGAAGATAGTGA